CCGCGCGACCCTGGGCCGTGGGCCCTTCCGCCCCCGGGCTCGCGTCTGGCCGTGGGAGCTGCCCACGCTCGCGCCCTGGGCTGACGCCGGCGTCGCAGGTGAAGTCCGGCCCCGGGCGGCCCGTGGGCGCTGGGCCGGCCAGCCTCGACCCGGGCCTGAGTTTGCACATCTGTAAAATGGAAGTCCGGATAGGCGAGCTGTGAGGACCTTCCACGTCTGACGCGCGAGCTCACAACTGCAGACGTCGAAGCTGCCAGAGGGAGAGCATAGGTAGATTCTTTTCCTAATTGCTAGCTTTTTGTCTTTGCATCTGTTTTATTTGGGTTCTTGTTCACCTGCGTGAAGTTTTTAATAGAAGACTTACCACGGAGTCAGTGGTTTATCTTACTGTTGTCATGCTCCTTTGTGCAACTTAACTTTCTTTAAAACCTATTTGGACGCCCGATCTGTTAAAAAAAAATGATGCAAATGAAACCTTTTTCGCCTGTCTCCTCGTCCCCGAGCCCCAGCTGCTCAGAAGGGTCCCTAGAGGTCACAGGTTGAGAAGCTCCATTATGGTTTTGAATCGTTTTGTGTATTTCTTGATTTGGCTGGATCTAGAAGATGATTTTTTTTTTTTTTTGCATATGTGGAGATTTTTTTTTTTTTGATTTGTTCAATTGTGTGACATGGAATAGAGGCAGTATATCCTTCATATACTGGAAAAAGACCCCCATATTTCCAATGAAGTGCGTTCACTTTCGCAGCCCCAGGGGAAGTGGGACCTCCTGTCTCTTTGCTGGTTTAGCTGCTCAGATAAAGAAGGGAATGGAAGACTTTCATTTGAGGCCAGCAGTATAGATTTGGACATACTCTCTGTCAAGCGAAAACTGAAAAAGTTTATGACTTGCAGTTGTCAGGAATAATGTGAACACGCTCTTTGATTAAACCTTGAAACCAAAAGAATGTTGGATTTTGCCAAACCGGGTTTAGGAGGAAAGGACATTTTCTACAGTGAGCAAATATGCGAACAATATGAGGTGGCGGTGTGTCGGCAAAACAATTGATCAGATTTTCTATTTTTTATTTCCCTTTTTAAAAAACATAAATTAAGAGCAATACGTAGTTTTCTAACTGGTTTTGGGGGATGAGAGTTGGTTAGAGATGTACTAAGATTGATGTTAAGAGGGGGAGACAGCTGGACTCTGTGTGGTGATGCCTTGTTCAAGAGAAGCTGGATCCACATAGGACTGCAGTTCACATCCTGGGGTTCCCGACTTCTGCAGGTCAGCCTGGAAGATCTAATGGGCTAGGGAACTGGAGGAAGATCTCACGTGACCAGGCCCTGTGGGGGGTGCTCATCTGTGTCTTGTTCTTTCTCTGTTGCATGCACATGTGTTTTATCGTAAACACACACACACACACACACACAAAATTGCAAGAGGAAAGCCTACCTTTTACAGCTTGTACACTTGGTACTTCTGGAGGGGAGCAACAGTGGGAGGTCCAGTTGGTCCCAGGGTGACCCAGTGGAGTATGTCTTTTTCTTTTCAACACACTCACTTGATCTTTGACTTAAGTTTAGGCAAGTCACTTCCTTCCTTCTCTTCTCAGTTTTTACTACAAAGTGAGGAAATTGAATCGATTACGGAGGGCTCCATTGTTTGCCTCCAGCTAGGAGGACCAGATGAAAAACAGGATGCCCAGTTAAATATGAATTTCAGATAAGCACTGAGTAGCTTTTGGTATAAATATTACATGGAGGCATACTTACACGAAAAAATCATTCGTTGTCTATCTGACATTCAAACGTGATTGAGCTTTCTGTCTTTTTACTTGCTAAATCTGACATCTCTGTCTCCAGCGGTTTTTGTCGTCTTTTAAGTTAGCATCATGAAGAAATAGCACAAAGCATGGATGGGACTCAACTGACTCAGCCAGTCAGGAACCCCTATTTGTTGTCAGTAGTCATGTCTACCCCTGAGGGATAGTGCTTTTTTCACTTGTGGTCACTTTCTTTTCCTCCTATGTAATGGGTCCATTTCTGTCATAATTAATAATATTTAGGCTTACACTTTGATGGTAAACAGAGTAAAATACCTAAGTATAAATAAAAGTCTTGCTAAAATTTATGAAAGTAACCCAAATTTAAGTCTTGTTCTCCAGTTATGTGATTGACTTCAAGACTTATTTATTTATTTAGAGGTTTTTGCTATAAGGCACGTGTATGTGCTCATGAGAGAGAGCAAGAAATCACCACCCAGGGGGGATGGCCATGCCACAGTCCCTTCTCCTCTATGTCCTTCTCAGGATTTTAGGCATGCATGCACATGCACCTGGCATGAGTTTTAAGCCTTCGGTCCAGGACTTGAACTGCAGTTAACTATGGGAGTCCAGCAACGTAACCATTATGCCATCTGTTGGTCCCAACTGCAAGACATTTTTTAAAGCAGAGGACTGTTTGCATGATAAGTAATCTTTCAGGAAATTCTTATGCATTCTGCCCCCATGAATATGGAAAATTGTAAGTATATGTACTATAAACATTTTCTGTTTTAAATTACTGTTGTCAGCCTTATCTTTGCTGTATTAAAGAGTTTCAGACTTAAAACTATTTTCAAAAAGTATAATTTTTTTTTTTTGGAGAGATTTTTGCTATAGGGTACGTGTGCTTGCCAGAAAGACAGAGAGAGACAAAGATAGAAAGCGAGAAATCGCCCCCCCAGGGCGGGGTGGGGGATGGCTACACCACAGTCCCTTCGCCTCCATTCTCCTCTCAGGATCTTGGGTATGCATGCACCCGTGCCTGGCGTGAGTTTAAGCCACCGGGTCTGGGACTCGAACTGGGGTCCACTACATGGGAGTTCAGCAACAGAGCCATTATGCTAACTGCTGGTCCCTAAGAAGTATACTTTTTAATTTGTCATTATTCGAGAGTTTTAAACTAGGTTAGATACAGTGTCTTGACTATGAAATGCCTGCATTTTTCTAATTCATTCATTCATTCATCCAGTAATCAACAAAAAATCCAGTGCCCCCTGTAAGCCAGGCTGATGTTATGACAGTGTTCTAGTTCTCCAGGTGCTTATTTTTCATAGAGGAATCGTGCCATGGGTAATGCAAGGATAATGTGATGAGGGGCTTGAAGTGAGAAGAAAGCTGTGGGAATTGAGAGGCGGATGAGTGCCCCTCAGGTTGATAGATGTGAGTGGCAGAACTTTCTGGAGGTGGTAGTGTTTCATCCAGGCAGACTGAGGTGGACAGAAAGGGGAAGAGGCAGATAAGGGCAGGGAGTCTGTCTTCTCTCTGTTGGATTAATAGTAGTTGATAATATTTACATATGGTGTTTGGTTCACAGTGGTGCTCTCATCTGCACTATGTATGTTGAGATTGAACTGCTTTGCTTTCTTTCTGTATTAGAAGGACCTTCAGTTGTCTTTGAAAAATGTTCGGAAATATGGCACACTTATACAACTACTCAAAAGATGGAATATTACTCATATTATTCAAACCTCCTGTGTGCTTCCCTCTCTCCGAGAAGGAGCAGCCATACTGAATTCTGTGTCTGTCATTTCTTTTTTTTTTCTTTTTTCTTTTCCCCTCGTGATAAGGGAGAGGGAGAGAGAGAGATACCCTTTTCCAGGCTTGTCATTCCGTTTCCCTTCTCCAGACTCTGCCCCACCACGCCCAAACACAGAGCCCTGCCTTCTGGTGACCCAGCTGCTTGCTCAGCAGCTTGATTGCAGCCTCATGATAGAACTTAAGCCAGACATTTCCAGCCAAGACTCCTGGCCATTGTCACCGTGAGGTATAATACATGTTCACTGTTTCAAACCATCAAGTTTTGGGGTGATTTTTTTATGCTAGAGTAAATAGTTCATCTATGGGGGCAACATTGTGATGTGTTGTTTTAATTTTGATGTTCTTGAAAACCATGGTGGTTAAATTGAGCTGTAATTGGCTCTTTTTTTAACCTATCATTTTGTTAGCCACAATTCAAAACCAATAGGCAGTGACAGGCTCTAAATTATTTTGTAGGGACAGGGATTATATTTAGAATACTTTAAATTTGTTCAGTTATAATATTAATAATTCGTAATTGTTGTATAATGCATTATGGATCTTTATCAACCAGAACAGACCATTTCCAGACCACATAGAAGTACAAAATATTTCACACATTGTCTTCATCTTCTATAACCATTTTAATTAGTTAATTTTAAATTGCCACAGAGTACATGGCAATGTACCCCTCAATGGTGTGTGGTCATGCTGCAATCCTGTTTCCATAGAAACTTCACAAAAGATATTTGAATTTCTAGTAGGCACATTAAAATTTTAAAACGTATTTAGTTACTAGAGAAGTATAACTCAAAATTATAATTATAAGCAATTATTTTGCTTACAAGAATGGCTAAAATGAAAAAGGCTGCTGACATCAAGTGTTGGTGAGGATATAGAGAAACCAAATGTATGTACATTGCTACTAGGAGTGTATACTGTACCAGGCACTTTGGGAAACAGTTTGATAGTTTCCTGTTAACTTGAACACTTACTTTATGACCCAGTACTTCCACCCCTGGCTATAAAGTAAAATCTTTTTAAAAATATATATTTAAAAAAATTTTACTATTGGGTACATGGGCTTGACAGAACGAGAATGCACCTCTCCTTGTCCTCTTCACCCTCCACCCCAGGGAGCTAGCCACTTTCCAATCCATTCTCCTCTCAGGATTCTGGGCACATATGACCATGGGCTCCAGCCTTTCACCTTCCAAGCTGCTTGATCTGAGGCTCGAACCACTTGGTTGTGTGGGATCCAGCTGACCCAACCACCATGCCACTGGCAAGCCTTAAAGTCAAGTCTTAAGTCCACAAATGACTTGTATACCAATACTCAGAGCTCACAGCTGGAGATAATCCCCATGTCTGTCAACAAGTCTGCAGTGGAATACTATTCATCAGTAAAAAGGAGTGAATTACCGACAGTGTGTCAGCAGCAAGTTTTAAAACATTATGCTGAGCAAAAGAAGACAGATAAAAGAATACATTCTGTATGATTCCACTCACGTGCAATTCTGGAACCAGCAAAACATTAATAAAGAAAGTAGATAAATGCTTGCCTGGGGTCAGAGGTGGATAGGTGGGTTAACTTGAGAGGAGCAGGAGGGAACTTTCTTTTTTTTTTGGAGAGTTTTTCGCTATAGGGTGCTTGCACTCGCCAGACAGACAGAGAGAGACATAGAGACAGAAAGCAAAAAATCACGCCCTGGAGGGATGGCCACGCCACA